TAACGTAAACAAAATTAAAGAAATTTGTCGAATATCACGTGATAGTAAAAATTTTTCTGGCGATGCTGGGGAAGATCTGTAGAATAAGTATTATACGTGATACAAAAATAGCTTCTATATATCGATCATCGAATCGGCCGAAAAATTATTCGGCCAATTTTTATCAAGTGATCCGGGAATTATGTAAGCTTAATTTAGGCCGAATTAAGCTTAATTTGGACCAAAATTTTAAATTACGTCCTAGGCGTTATTTCGAGATAGTATGTTAAATTTATATTTGATTTTCAAAGTGGTTAAACAGTTTAAAAACATCCCCTATGATTTGGTACCTGAAATTGCATATAAATGTTTAAGTGCTTTTAATGTAGTAGGTTGACTCAGTTAAGACGAAATTAACAAATAAGAATCAGTAATTTTTAAAATTTTTTTTTTTGAGACTGACCATGATAAATTGACCATGATGTCATTTTTTATTTTATTGGAAATAAATTTTACACAATCTTTCTTTATTCATACAATCTATATTCGTAATTATGTATTTGATCAATCATTGATATTGATTGTTTTAAAACTTTACTCTTTATTAACGTCAATCATTATAAAATCAAAATTAAACCACCTTACCATCCTTAACAATTCTCATAGTAATCAAATTGTATAGTTTCTAAACCACCAAGTAAAACAATTCAATGAATGACAACCCAATAAATTATTACAAATATAAATTTGATATAAAAGAATGTATTGATTATTGATAAAAAGAAAAGATATGTCAAATTCTATTGATATAAAGCTATAGAAAGAAGGAATTATGTATATTCCAGGAAAATCCAAACATTCGCAAAATGTTCGAGTCAACTAGTCGAAATGATTATTCGGAAATAAGTGAGATACTGAAGGGTGTGTGATGTAAATTGAAGGTAAAATTTTGTAAAATGTTCTGTTAAATGTTTATAAACTTTGTTTCGAAAATCATAAATCATAAAATATATTTCGTATCCAGTTCATCGGCGAAATCCATAACTAAAATTTTTTGATCTTGACTTGTGCTATTTGATAAGTTAATATTTTAAAGATTTAGCAAAATTCGTTGATTGATATTATAAAGAAACTATCAAGTATGAATAATATTACAAAAAAAATATATATATATTTACCTAACAATTTTTGTTGAGCTAAATTGAACATCAAATACCCAACTTGTGTGACCTTCTTTAAAATCCAATAATTGCTTTCCCGTTTTTAATTCCCAAACCTTAACAGTCTGATCATAACTTCCACTGACAATTTTATCTTCATCAAAATGTAATGTTCTAACTAAATCAGTGTGTCCCTCTAGTGTACGAACACATTGCGCAGTTTCGACGTCCCAAATTTTAATAGTTTTATCATTAGAACCCGAAACTACCCATTTACCATCAAATTGAACACAGGCCAACCCTCTTGTATGGCCAATAAAGTCCTTAAGGAATTCCCCACTTTCTAAATTCCAGAGTTTAATTAAAGCATCACCTGACGCTGATATAATTCTATTACCGTGAAGTTGAACAGCATTAACAGGTCCACGATGACCTGTTAAAGTACGAAGACATGTACCTGTATTTATATCCCAAACTTTAATCGTACTGTCTTTCGAACAAGAAACAATATAAAAATCATCGAAACAAATGTCCAAAACGCCTGCGGAATGACCCGTGAGGTGTCGTAATTGAATTACTGAATTATTACCCTTTGGCATACCAACCCTCTGCATATCCCAAATAATAATAGTTTTGTCACTAGAACCCGAAACCATAATCTTATCATTGTATTGTAAGCACAAGACAGATAACTCATGACCATATAATGTTTGAAAACATTCACCAGTTTTAATGTCCCAGAACTTAATGGTTTTATCGCGCGATCCTGTTACAATTTTATGTTCGTCAAATTGTATACAGTATACGCTGTCCGAATGACCATTAAGATATGTCTTTTCACAATCGCCTTTTTTCCATCGCATTGCAAGAATATGTCTGTTTCTGTACAAATCCTTCCAAGTGACTTCACCCGCAAGTGTTGCTTCGCGCGGTATGGAAGCTTTCCAACCTTTATTTGCCATATACATGCCACGCCAAAGTTCATTATCTTGAGATATATATTTCCACGCACGAGACACTCGTGACATTCGACATAAGGTTTGAAAATTAACGAATACAAGTATATATGCAGCGATTTCATATGGAAGTTTCATTAGAAAGTCTAATATTAGAATATAAATTAATCATAAAATATATAGTTTTTGAGATTAATAATTGAAATCCATAGTTAACAAACATGTAACATGCAAACAAAGTTACGAATACAAATTTTAAGTACCTATTTTAGTAGCCGAATCTTCGACTGTATAAAAACCTTCATCTTCGACTTCTGAATAATTCTGATGGTATTTTGTGGGTGATAATTGTCGACGAGTGATGCCTCTATCTTTCGAATCATCATTGATATTTTTGGCAAAGATTTTATTAAAAAATCTTGATTTACCAAGTAAAGTATGTCTTGGACTTTTCATTTTTTTTTTTACTGTCATAAAATAATTAACAAGGAGAATTGGGCATATAAAGTTTTTTAAAGGGTTCAATATTCCAAATAAATGTATACTTTTCTATCTGACGTTCCAAGTTAAATTTATTTTTTTATTCCTTTTTGTCAGCGATTCACAAAAAAGAAAAAAAAACCAAAATTGGAAATCAGAAAGCTGAAAAGAATTGTCTAAATATTTGTTGGCAAGAAACAGGAGAGTACTAACCTTAGGTATTATTCGAAAATATCAATGACTTACGAGAACAAAAGTGTTCTAAATGGTTTTGAAATGATCGACTAGGCTTGAAGACTTTAGTTAATAAGTGTTTGAAGTTCGTTTAGTTCATTTAAGCACTTTCTAAATTATTATATATTAAATATACTGTATATTGCGTAACCGACAATTTGAAAGTTAATCATTGGTACAGCTAAATTGTACGTATGTACGTATGCACCTGTAATGATAATGAACAAACCTCCAATACGATGATTGCACGTGATCAAATATCACACAATAGGATAAGGCAAAGAAGGGACGGTCTCCACTAGTTCTCCACTCCAGACTATGAATAGTATATTCAAATATTCAATGAATATTCGAATGCTTGAATATATAATTGCTTCACTAACTGAATATTCGAATATATTCATCAAATAATTTAATGAATATTCAATGAATATATATTATTTGTTAACTAATTAAAATACAGAATAAATTATATAATAATTATGTATTTTGATTAATTTGTATATACTATAGAAAACTAAAATAAAATAAATGTTTATTAACTAGAAACAAATTAGTTTATTTATTTGTTAAATATATATAGCTTATAAATATAAAAATTATTTGTTAGCTTATATATTTAAAATTAGCAATCAATTTAACTTTAAAAGATTATTTTAAGTTATTCATTCTGAATTTTTTGACCGAGTTAGACCTCTATCTATCGGTATAGCAAAAGCAGACGTAATTATTATTCTTGTGAATGCTGTGTCGGTAGACCATCCCGACAAAAAATACATTGTTTTTCAAATATTATGTCGATATAAAATTACAAATCTTGCATTTCGTATATAGTATCACATTACAAAATCTATTAAATCAATTTGCTTTTACTTTTGCTTTTCCATTAGCTTTGAGTTCAGCCTCTTTCTTTAGTCTGTAGGCTCTGTACTTTAAATCAGTGCCCATTAAATAATCCCACCATCTAAATGAAGTAGAAAAACAATTAACAAATGCCATATGATGATAATCGTGATGCTCAGCACCAGCCCAGAACGGAATGAAATGACGAAGAGACCATGGAAAATCTTAATAGTGAAAAAAAAGAAAATTAAAATTTTATGAACGTAAAGAAAAACAAAAAAAGTACTTTTATTCGATAGAATCGCATTCAATTACCATAGCCAGAATGTGCATCAATAGCTTGAAACAGGCGTAAACTAATCCAAACGAAAACGGTAACAAGGTGAAGATCATGAGTAATCGAAACCCACAAAAGCGGGCCTCCAATAGTTCCAGTACCCAAGATAATTACTTCGAGTGGATGAGCATATTCGGCCGCCTAAAATTTAATATAAGTTCTTGTTAAATTCTGCACATTATCAATCTACGTAATTTAGTTGCAAGCCTACCAATCCGAAAGGAGCAGAATATTCATGATGTTGTTTATGAATATATTTATAAAAAGGACCGTAATGTAATAAACGATGAAACCAATAGTGGAATGTGTCCTCAAAAACGAAAAACACGGCCACATGGAATGCTAATTTCTGCCAATGAGGGAATGGAACTGTGGTTATTTCCATTCCAAACATTGTGGCCACGGGATGAAAACTAAAAATTAATGGAAGTTCGACACAAAAGTGAGCAAAAAGAACCGATTTAAGGCATTGCCATTGTTCTTGTACTGTATTAGATTTATTCTATTCATGGAAATAAATGATGTAACATATTAACGATCCAATCATGAATTAAAATTTTGAACGATAATAATTAATGTAGATATAATGCTCGCTTACAGCTTGAAGCTTATATCTTCGAAAAAAGGGTATAAGGTCTGCAATCCAAAAAGGTACACAACGTCCAAAGTAAACAATTTCATGCATAAGGAAAGCTATTATAGCGGTGGCAATAACCTCATTTTCGAAAGAATTGAACCAAGCAGTCCAAGCTTTTTCCGCAAAATTGAGGTTTGTCGAGGTGGCATTAAGATTATCGTGAAAAGACCTGCATAAAAAAGTAATTTAATTCTTCGTCCAAATAACTCTTCAAATTAACATTTTTTGAACTTATATTTACATTTGAGTCACTACAAAATAATAATAAGGACCAAGAAATAAAATAGGCAAACTTCTAATCTTAACGTTAAATAAATAATTGGTTACACGAACATTAATTTGCTCTAACAAAATAATTTTTTTCCGCTTCAAGATGAATTCTCTATCATAACTGGTAATCCATGACGATACCTTCTTTTTTTTTTGATCGAAGCACAAGATCAAATTCCTATAATCATATATAATCATGTGAATCTTTCTGTTCATGATTAGCATTGGAATTAATCATGTGATAGCATTGAGACATTAAGACGTTTTATATCACGTATATATATAATAGTATTTTAAAAGATCGAACTGCATTATTTGTCACGCATGTTAAGGTAATACAACAATCTATCATGTAGACAAGAATCTACTTAGAATGAAGTATGTACACCGACAGATTGACCACTCCTTAAAAAACTGTCTGTAACCCCAAAATTCGTTTTGAAACTACCTTTTGTGCTATAACAAAAAAATTTTGTGGCTAAATTAAATATTAACTCTACACTGTCGCACCCGATACTTTTATGGCTTTTAATAATCCTTATTATATAACACCGACAATAATACGTATCGATATAACTTGTTTATACGTATGGACTAGGAGGAACCAAAATTGGGGGTCGTTTAAAGCCCGAATAAAACGACAAGACAAAAACACGAAAATATAAAAATGGCTATCTAAATAGGTCTTGATGCACTAAGTAAAAGTGTCGGAAATGCGATTTTACTACGTATATCTATTAATCTCCTAGCCCGTGTTTAACCCTAACCCTAATATTAATTAAAAATCGGGAAAACCGGAAGGTTCCAGGCTTAAACGTTAGCTTAAACGTCCCCCAAAATTGCCAATTTTTTTGAACTTATTAATTAATCCAAAATTAGCCCAGAAACATTTTTTACTAAGAACAAATCTTAAAATTTTGCAGTATATATAACTCTTTAAAGTTTGTATTTTCTTATTTTCTTATAATTTATTATAGAATTTATAAAAATTTTTGCAAAACTTTGTTTTGTTAATTTGGTCCCTTTTCTCAGCACCAAGCCCCATATGATGTTTAAAATTTTACTTAAAAGTTTTTCTGCAAGTTTTTTTTGTTTTAAAAGTTTAAAGATTTAATACAATACTTAATTGGAAATTGTTATTTATAACCCCTCAAATTTGATATTCATATCCCCTCGTAAATTAAAAGTTTTTCTGCGAGTTCTTTTGTTTTAAAAGTTTAAAGATTTAATACAATACCTAATTGGAAATTGTTATTTATAACCCCTCAAATTTGATATTCATATCCCCCTCGTAAATTAAAAAATTTTAAACCTCAAGATATCTCGACAATTGCTAGGCTAAATTCGGTGGATTTTTGTTTATTTAATTCTAAAGATCTGTAGAATTCAAATAGAAAAAAGTTCATTGAATTTGGCCTAGGGTTATCGAGATATCTTTGCTCAAAGTTTGAGACAAATTGACTTCTATTTTGATAGACGTTTTGAGTTTTTAAAACTTTGAGCGAAGATATCCCGATAATCACCAGGCAAAATTAAACTTTTTTTTTATTTAAATTCAACGATATGTAGATTCAAATAAAAAAATCATGGAATTTTACCTGGTGGTTGTCGAGATATCTTTGCTCAAAAATTTTAGCACAGCTTTTACTTTGATGAACATTTTGTTTTAAAATTTTTGAGAAAAGATATCTCAACAACCCTCAAGCTAAATTTGATGTTTTTTATTTGAATTCTAAAGATTTATAGAATTCAAGTAAAAAAAAAAAAACCATCAAATTTGGTTTGGTAGTTGTCGAAATATTTTCATTTAAAGTTTGAGAAAAATTTTGGACAGTTTCTATTTTGATACGCGTTTTTAAAACTTTGAAGGTATCTTAATAACAATCAGGTTAAATTTTAATAAACTTCTTTATTGGAATTTTACAAATCTGTAGAATTCAAATAAAGAAAAGTTTATTAAGTTTAGTTTGGTAAGTATTGAATTATCTTTTCTTAAAATCTAAAAAAGATTAATGTATAGAAGGGTTTATATTATACAGATGTATGATAGCATCATTAGAATTATTTTTATTAGAAGTTAGTAAAATATGTACTGTAATTTTATATAATTTTAAATGCAATATATTCTTAAAAAGTAATTGCTAATTTATATCGCAGATGGTACGTACGTAATACGTACAATTATCAATTAAGATTCAAGATATAATGTATAATCAATTTTGTATAATAGGGGGTTTCAAAGTTAATAACAAATGAGTGGCGCATTATGAAATTCAATGAGAGTTTGAAAAAATTATTTATCGGAAAATGAAGTTGATACATCATTCATTTGAAAATAAATCTAATCAATTTCATATTTCCGCATTTTAACTTTGAAACCCCCTAATAAAAAATTTTTCTAAAAATTAAAAAAAATTTCATTTATAAAATTTTATACCGTATATGTAATCTCGAAATAACGCCCAGGACGTATACGTATAAATATATATATATCAAAATTTTTATTATATATATTTTTTTGTCACGTTTATACGTATGTTTTCTATTGGCTTCTGATTCTATTCTTTTTTTATTTTTCTATTGTAACTTTTAAATTTTACTAATTAAATATAAATTTATTACTTTACTAATGCTCTAAATATATGTTGCAAATTATTAATGAAAGAAATTTTTTTTTTACACAAAAAATTGAGCTTTTGTTCTATTGTTCTATTTGCCAACACTGGTAGTACGTATGTATACGTATATTTATTTATTTTTTTTTTTTTTTTAGTATGGTTCGATACGTGGTTGGCACACTTTACTTTTTTTGTTATAGATGTTCGATATTATACGTATATATATAGTTTAGTATGTATTACTATAAAGTTACTAGCATCAGGGCATGTTCTTACGTCCGTGCTACAGTAGCATAAGAGTAAGTTGTTATAGAAATAATATCGTACGTACGTACTACGTAGACTAAAAGACCCCTATATATATCCTTCACTATTTTTGGATACATATGTTCCAGACCGTAGAACATGAACTGACAAATCAGATTGCTTAAAGCGTACAGACGGACAGATACGTACGTACGTAGAATTTTTTCGTGTATAAAATAAGATCTTATCTAATTTTTTTTACATGCATAAAAATTATTCGGACCTTCTAGTCGTTAGCATGAAGATTATTAATCAACGTATTTGAAATGTTTGTAACACTTACAGTATTCGTTTTCATGATGTACGTACCTCAACGGGAGTAAATACGATAATATAGAAGATTGATATGCATATAGTACAAAGTCACATTATCGAAAATTGCTAGATCTTGGGGTAGTTTTACAAATTACACTTGATTTCATAATAACTCGGCTCGCATAAAATAAACAAATCGTCAAAATATGTATATGCAATCAAATTTTAACTTTTTTTCACTCGATATTCTCGATTGTTTTAATTAAATATACGTTTTTTGCACAAGTTATTATTTTATATTTTTTTAAACCATATTTCATTTGAAACAAAAACTGTTCATGGAAATCGGTATTATATTTCCTCTAACGATTAGATTTGGCAACACGTTCTGAAAAAAAAAAACAGTATATTAGTAAACATAGTAAATCAGAGCTTGTCACTTCTTTAATTACCTAATTCATCCTTCTTCTTAATTGCATAAGAATTTGAACTTCCCTCTGAAGTGTAAAAGAATTTAAATATTGATATAAACCATTTTAATAAATGTAAGACGTTCTAAATAACGAAAAAAATACAAACTGGCAGCATTAATAAGTTCATCAGCTAAACATTCTGCAATGCTTTTGACGTTTCTGAAGGCCGACTCACGTGTCTGGAATTTGTTTTTAACATTGTTAGCAATTTTTTATGATTGTTACTATTATTCGCCTAAACTTACCCCAATTGTCAAAAGAGCAATTGCTTGATTTACTCTACGCAGGGGAGATACATCAACTGCTTGTCTTCGGACAGTACCTGCACTGCCGATACGGGTTGAATCCTCACGCGGACCAGTATTTATAATAGCATCAACCAAAACTTGAATAGGATTTTGATCCGTCAGAAGATGAATGATCTCGAATGCATGCTTTACTATTCTAACTGCCATTAATTTTTTTCCATTATTACGACCGTGCATCATGAGCGAATTGGTCAAACGCTCAACGACGGGGCACTATAGTGTTGTCAGTAAAAAGAAAAAAAAAAAAAAAACTTAGTATGTCTATTAAATAATAATTACTTGTATTTATAATATTCAAGTGCCCAAGTGAAACGATAATTAATGTTATCTTAAGCACTAGTTGAATTATATAAAGTCATAAACCGTACTTGGGCTTTTCTGAATCTTTTTGTGGAGAAACGACCAGCAGTGTGAGGTAAATAAACGGGATTTCTGATTTGAATATAATCTGTTAACGATATATCCTTAACCTCCACGTCGTCATAACTCCATTTGTTGAACAAACGAATGCCTTGATGGTACTCGAAAGCAATTTCAGCTGGGATAGACATTATATGCTGTGTGCAAAATAAATTTCTTTAATATAATATAAGCAAAATGGACGGTTTTACGTTATCTATACCTTTCTATGAATGAAAGTCGATAATGATAAAAAAAAAAAAAAAAAAATCCTAAGATCTACAAATCAGTTTTTTTTTTTTTTGCAAGATTTGATTGGTCAGAGTGGATCAGGATTAAGAAGCCGGTAAAATGGCATTTTCCGAAACCTCTTGAACTCGTATTTTACATTGAGAAAAACACCGTTACACGAATTTGCATATTGTACAAAGTCATTATATTAAATTTTAAAACGAAAAACTAACGCTAATCAAATATTCTTTAAAATGTTTGAAGCGGAAGTCTCGAGTGTAACAAATAACGATATGATGACTAGAAAAATTAATTTTTAATTTTAGCCAATCAGAATTATTATTTACTAGCCAATAGAAGTGAAAACATGTGATTGTATGGTTATATTTCTGTATTTTCTGTATTCAGATCAGAAGCATTTCACGTTTTAAGTAAACTCCGTAATGTCGTCAGAACGCGAAGCTCAGGCACTTCTTGCCAAAGCTGATAAAAAAGCAACTACATTTGGCTGGTTTGGCAGTAATAAATTCGAAGAGGCTGCAGAATTATACAATAAAGCGGCCAATATCTTCAAGCTCGGAAAACGATGTAAGGGCTCCTGTGATTTCTTAATTTTATTGTTAATCGCGGACGATTTATAGAAAGTACTGAAAACTTGCCCAGAATTTATATTTAGAAATATTTTGTTGTCCAATTTGGATCAATAACAAACATTATATATTGTTTAAAGGGAAAGAAGCCGGTGATGCATTTACTAAGGCTGCCAACATGCAATTACAGCTTAACGAACGTGATGATGCTGCTACGACTTTTATCAATGCTGCAAAATGTTACAAGAAAGGCAGTTTCGAAGGTTAATCAAAAATATTCTTATGATGTCAGCTACTATTTATTTGAAATATCAAACTTTAATTATAATATTTGATCCAACAGATGCTATTACGTCTTTAAAGCAAGCCATCGAGATTCTCACAGACAGAGGTCGATTTCAAGCTGCAGCTGGGCACCAAAAGGATATTGCTCAAATCTATGAGTCTGATCTCATTGATTTAGAAAAGGCAATGCAAGCTTATGAAATTGCAGCAGATTGGTATGCTGGTGAAGAAGCAACTGCGTATGTTTATAAACCATTTCATTTTTTTTGATTATATCCGCTATAATGAAGGAATTCATTCTGACAGTTTTTATATCACACAAAAAGCTTAGCCAATAATTGTCTTCTTAAAGTTGCAACTTTTGCCGCAACACTGGAACAATATGATAAAGCTATTGAAAAGTTTGAACAAGTTGCCGCTGCTAGTCTTGATAATCAGCTGACAAAATGGTCGCTCAAAGATTATTTCTTGAAGGCGGGACTTTGTCACATTGCTTTCGGGGTAAATTTCTTTGAAAAACACATATGCTACAGGGAAATATTCTTTTATATAATTGATAATATTTAATTATCAGGATCATATCGGTGCCAAACGGGCAATTGAAAGATATTGTGATATGGATGTAACTTTTTCCACTACTCGAGAATGTCAGTTTCTCAAGGTAAGATTAAAATTTTTGATCGTTCATTAACAAATTTGTAAAACCTACTTATTTTTGTTTTGAATCTCAAAGGCAATTCTTGAAGCTGTAGAAAATGATGATATTGAAAGTTTCACAAATAGAGTAGTAGAATTTGATCAACTTACCAAACTAGATAATTGGAAAACTACTATTCTGCTACGAATTAAAAAAAGTATTCAAGAAGGTGGATCCTTAACGTAGACCCGGTTTTACAATTTTATCCTAGACCGGGTAGCTTGTTATATGATTGGTCAATTAGTGCTTAGTCAAATGTCAGTGACATTTGGCGGTGTAAGTTTCTTGTTCATGTAATTTACTTTTATTATTATCATTTTGATTTTCATATATATCATATATAAAAATTATTTATAGAAGTCAGTTTTCTTGTAGCATTTGTTGTTAAAATGTTCGAAGTTTAATTGCAATAATGATCAAACAATGTTCAATGTGAAACAAAAACTAGAAAATCATTTATTTATTAATAGAAGTCTGCTGTTCCCTGATGTAAAGATCTTATTCCACATGTCTGACTACATTACAGTTACGTTAAATGTTATTTTTAGTTACAATTATTATCAAGCTTTTGATTATTGTTCTTTATAAAAATGGTGTTGACCTTGATTTGCTTCTATTAATAAATCCGAAAAGAAAAATTTTGAAATCGTTTACTAACCAAAATTGTAACATAATCAGAACGACGATATTGGTGTGACATCTGGAATAAATAAATCTCTTAAACAGAATCATCGTGGAAAGACCATTGAGTTTGTTTTGGAGAAGCTTTTGCAGTCTTCACATAGTGGTTATTATCCGGTGGTGGCTCCTTGGTTGTACAGCTAGATAGCATCGACTGTATCGACAGGCAAACAGACCTAACACTTAAAACCGGACTCCACTGATTATACAAGACGTTCAAGCATATATGGCCATTACTGTATATATGTGGGTGTATTGGTATGTTTCCAACAAAAACAACTTCTGGAGACTCCATTGGATAGTTCGGTGTGAATCGAAATTCCAAGGTGAACCGTTCACCCGCGTATAAGGTTCCCTCAACACCGTCAAGGGATAATTTCCAACATTTGAACGAGTCAGATTCTGTAACTTCGATTCCCGCCGGTGGGTTGATTTTAAGATCGATTAATTCTTTAGAAAGACGCTTTGAGAAAAGTGTAGAAGACATGCCGGATAAACTGAGTACAAGCGTTAGGTACACGGAACTGTCTTTAAAAAAATACGATTGGGAATATCAACATCCATTTATGTAGCACATATCATGTGAATAACATGTGCACTACCTATAATTAGTAAATAGGGGTTGAGTTACCTGAATTACATGTAATAGTAATTTTACGTGTGGCGAAGTTAAACCTTCTTACGTACTAAGCTTTTTGACTTTTAAATTTATGTAATTGCTTTACAACCATGATATGAAAAACATCGTGCTCATATAAATGCTGCGATGTTACTTAGATTGCTGCGATTTTTAATTTTGTTATAAATACGCATCTATTTCTTTCATGTGACTTTGCTTCGGTAATTATCGTAAATATCGTTTTACACTTAAAAACAGGATTTTTTTCTTGCTATCTAAGTTAATTGAACTCTAAATAAAATTGTTTGAAATGTTGCCTTTACTTTGCCCCAAATTTTGGCGAAATACAACCTTTTATTAATAGGTATTTTCATTATACGATTTGACGCAGAAAATTAATTTCTGCGTCAAAAAAATAGCAAAAGCTATTAATAATAAGTTATCTATATTGTGCCTAAATTTAGAATATCATTTTGAACGACTTTATTAATAAAAAAATTGTTTTTTTTGTAATATGCTTAATTTATTTTACTCATATTTATTATAATGCTAATATTCAATTATTATAAATCGCACCAGTGGTGTTAAACGTCATATAATTTTTTATTATAATTTTGTTGTTAATATTTAAGGTTAAGGATTAAAATTAAGATAAAATTAGATGCTATAGACTAAAAATTAAAGCTAAAAATACAGTTGAAATAAGGTTTTTTGGGTTGCTGGACATTTTTACTTAATATATTTAGTCTTGGTTATTTAGACAGTTTTTGAAAAATAGCAATTGTGGTATTTTTTTTTTTTACTTAGACAAATTGTGCTAGTGATTCTGTTTAATAAAGCCTAGTCTTGTAAAAGATCACAGAATTACAAACTTTTGCCTATAACTCTTGATATTAAATCAATAGTTCCGACATATTATGGCTATTTTACTAATAATTAACTGTTATTAGAACACCCATAAATGACATTGTCATACTAGCAAAATATGATCAATTAAGATAATATCCTAACTGAGGATTTGTCTAACCACTGCTCTATAATAGGATACCACCAATTTGATAATATCTTATAGGAAAGTAGAAGAAAAAGAAAAAATTTTAAAAGCAACACAGAAGTATAGATAATGATATTAAAAAGTACAAACAAGAAAAAAAAGGAATAAGATGAAAATGAAAAAAAAGCTTAAACTAAATACAAGGTTTTTTATTTATATTAGACAGTTACAATTATAAGTCTGTATTAAATTTTATAAAAATTACATACTATTATTTAAACTGTTCTTTATTTTAATTTATATACATAGTATATAAAAACAACTCTTTTTGCTGATCATCAAAACACAAATTTTTAAAAATAAATTTTAATAAAATTTTATAAGAAATACACAAAGGTTATTAAGAAACTAAACTTAGAATCTTAAGTAAAGAGAAAGAAAACAATAAAAAACATCAGTTTTTTAAGAGACTTAAGTAATAAAAACAGTAACAGCAAAGAAATAGAAGAAGTTGTGAAAAACTGCCGATATTTTTTTTGTACTTTATGATTTTTAGAAAATTGGCCTTGACTTTGAATCACAGATCTGTTTTGGTAGTATAAAAATCACAATATATAATGAAGAGTAAACAAAAGAAACATGTTATAAATCATGTAACAAAAATAAATGATAGAGATAAACAACTGAACTAAACAATAACAACAAGCAACAATAAAGGAACAATAATAAGTCACGTGAAACAAAAGTTAGCAGAATGTTCTGAAAAAAACTTAAAGCAGTATTAGAAAATATCTAAGACTTGTTAGCAGCAATAACTATCACTGATTAAAATGAAATCTAATCAAAATAAAATTTTCTGTTTTTTAAAAAAAATTTAAAATTTTTTGGTATCATTATTTGGAGTTCTTTTAGCATTAGGAGTAGGATTTAGAATTAGGTTTATTAATAAATAAATATATGTAGGTTTTATAGGCTCTAAGGGTAGACATGAGAGGTCCTTAGCTTTATTTTAATCAGATTTCATTTTAATTTGTGACAATAACTAATGAATAATAGATATAACAATAAAAGAAATAATGGCAGAATATGTAAAGCAAGAATCTATCCCAAAAAAAATAGTTGAAGCACAAATAAAAAAGCTTTATGAAGAATTACAGCAGTATAACAAAGGAAAACTAAAATATACAAAACTTGTACTTATAAAAAAAGAATATGAAATTTTCTATAAAGCAATACAAAAGGAAGAAGATCTAGTTAACTGCATTATAAAAGAAGAAATAGTTAGTTATATAGTAGAACTAAGAATAGCTGACAGAGTAAGAAGAGTACTAAAAATAAGAAAAAACAAAATGCTAAAATAAAGTCAAAACTAGAATTAGATTAGAACAAGAGACTTCAAAAACAAAAGAAAAATTGACAAAAACAGCATAACAAAACAGCTTTGAAGTTTATAATACAGCAATTTAAAGAATTTGTTAAAACTACTGCAATAAACCAGCAAAAGATAAAAAGAAAAGTTAAAGAAGAAAAAAGAAAGATGCAAGTTCAACAAAAGAGAAATCAAGCTGCTAAAAACATAGCTAAGAAGCAAGCTTAACAAGAGGAAAAACAAACTGCTGAAATAAAAATGAAATTGAACCTAGACTGGAGCAAGAGACTTCAAGAACAAAGAAAAACTCAGCAAAAACAGTATAACAAAATAGCACTAAAGTTTCTAATAATACAGTTTACAGTATCTGTTGAATCTGCTGCAGCAAGATATAAGAAAAGAAAAAGAGAATTAGAGAAAAAAAAAGATGAGAAACAAGAGACAAAACATTTCAGATCTAACAGAAGCAAAATTACTAAACAAAATTTAAAAAGAAACAAAACCAAAAATTGTATTATCAATCTCAATAGAATGGTTAATAGAGATAATACTGTATATCTAACAAGTATTAAAGACCCACAGCTTAATAATAAAATGTAGAAAAAGAAGAAGAAAGATCTGCTTACAAAATAGATATATGGTTTGAAGACTTAATAGAATCTAAATCTGAATTTGTTTCAAGAAATATTAACACCCAGTTTGAAAGAAGCTAAAAATTAAAAAAGAAAGAAAAAAGATATATTACTAAAGATAGTTGTAAGGATTTTTGTAAAACACTTTAGAAGACCAAAAAATTTTTATTGAAATATAAGAAAGGTTTTGAGAAGAAAACAAAACTCTAGAAAGAAAAAGAAGAAAAAGAAGATAAAGAGAAGAAAAAAAAAGATTTTTATGCCTATATTACAGAACAAAGAAAATCTGAGCAAATTAATCAAGACTCAAAAATGAAAGGACCAGAAGAAGACCCAAGGTATTTAAAAGAAAGAGAAGTCAACAGAAGAATGCTTCTAGAAGAACTTCATAAAACAGGCTTCTGAAAAGGAAAAAAAGAATATAGGACAGTAAATCAGAAAGGAAGAATTAATGAAGATGATATAAGAAAACCTCCAAGAATCAGATCTTTGATCAGAAAGGACAGGTTAAACTAGAAAAAGAGAAAAAGAAACATAACCACAAATGAAAGAATACTGGCAATAATTCTTTGATAAAAGAGAAAGTAGAATTGTTTATTAGAAAATTAAATTTAGAGTATTATTATAAAATTAGCAGAAAACTAGAATATAGTTGCAAAAAGAAGGATATTTTAAAAAGAGTAAATTGACAGTTAAATGTAGTGAAAAATTCTTTTAATTCGAAACTATCTTGCTATAGTTTCATAAGCTAAATTGATGCAGTCTCCAGTACAGACAATAGCCTTAATTAGTGTAGTAGACCACATTTGAGCATCTAATAGGGCAGCCAAATGATGTCAGATCTCTAATTTAGATAGTTTAACTATATGTATATATATGCTTTGATCTAATAAAGATACTGATGAGTCTACTAATATAAAAAAAATTTATATATAGCATATTTAAGATAAAAAAAATTCTTAACAAAATAAAAAAAATAGCTTTTTTGCTATTAGCATCATAGAAAGGACAAAAAGGTTAAAAATTCATATCAATAGTCTTAAGTCATTGTTTGTTCAAGTTGTTATATTTGAGATATGTAATCTATATGTTTATATTTCATATGCATCTATGTATTTGTTATAATAAATAAAAAAAGTAAACAATACAACTGATTTGGTAAATAAATAATATATTAATTTTTTGAAAGAGATAAGCTAAATTATCTACTTTTTTACAAAATTTTCTTAAAAAAAAGCAGAGGGTTAACAGAAGTATGTAAGGTTTTTCTATAAGTTTTATAGTTATATAGACAATTATTTAAGCTTCAACTGAGTCTTTTGATTACTACTTGTTCTCAAAATTACTTTTTTGGTTTGAATACTGAATATTTTGGAGAGTCCATTAATAGATTAGAAAAAAACTTGATCTTAAAAAAAAACTGTCCAAGTTACATCTGCTTTTCAGTATATTATGTTTCTTAAACTTCATTAACAATAATTTATATAAATGTAAAACCAGTTTTAAAATATTCTTTTGGTTTAAATACCAAATAACTTAGAAAATCTACCAAATAGTAGTAAAGCTTAACTCCATAAAAAACTACCTAAAATATGTCTGTTTCTCAGTATTTTACATCAAGTTTTATCAACAACTATTTACTCTAAAATAAAACTGAGAAGTATTTGTCTTGAATATTTCTATATTGTTTTTTATAATTCAGTTTTTCTGTTATTGTTGATCAGAAGATTGTTAAAAAGAGTTTTTTGCAATTGTGGTATTAAATGTCGCAGATTAAAATGAAATCTGATCAAAATAAAACTAAGGACTTTTTATATCTACTTTTAGAGCTTATAAAACCCATATATGCTCATTTATTAATAATTCTGATCCTAAACTCTACCCCTAATGCTAAAAAAAATATTTTCCAAAAATTTTTAAATTTTCTTTAAAAAACAAAAACTTTCATTTTAATTGAT